GTAACAGGATCATAGCTGCATTTGAAATGCTAGGAAAAATAATTATACGTACAGTAAAGAGGGGATATAATTAAAAGTGATATGGCAATCATATTGGTATAGGAACAAGGAACAGAGATTACTTCACTCTCCCTGAGAAAACATTATTGTCAAGATGTTAATGCCACAGATACTTTCTTGGTTAATATGATGAGTAAGTAGACACCTGACCACATAAAAAGAGGGTATAACAGGATGGCAAAAAAAAGGAAACTGACATTGGGATCTGAATAGATATCTAATATGTCATGGAGAATGGCATATGTCCAAATCCTGGTGAAACTGACAGAGGTCTAGAAATGTAGGCATTAAATTTGCTTATCTCTTTTCTGTGACTTCAACAATTTGGGCCTATCTGTGCAATGTGAGGGAGTTTCAGGCCTAGGTACATCTTCTGTGCCTTTTAACTTGCTTTGACTTGATCTTTTCTTAATTTTGTAATAAACTAGGGTTTATTTAAAGACACATTTGTATCTTAGACTGAGGTAGTTCACTACAGCTTGGCAGACGAGAGGTAAAATTATCATTTGGCCTATGCAGAAAAGCGTGAATCTAAACCCAGCTCAGGTCAAACTTCCATTACAAAGGTAAATTTTGATTCTGCAGAATCTTAATATATCATATTTGCTACAGAAATACAAGAAGCAAGACAGATCCAGCTCATAAACTCTGTTTGACCTCCTGGAATTAGAAGAACACTATTTTTCTAACTAAAATTCTTAACGAAAGATTCATGGAGCAAATTAAAATGGAGTCATAAAACAATGCAGGTAAAAACAAAACCAAAAGTAATGTTACAAAAATATTGATAAGTTGTTATTACTGGTTTTCTCCATTTGAAGATTATTAGACATGCTATATAATGATAATATGTCATTTCTACACAGTACTTCTAGGTGGAAAGAAAGATTAATATGCCACCTAGAGGACAAAAGAATGATAACAAAATATGCCACATTCTCTTATGTTTCCAAGCTTCAAAATAACAACTTTTCAGAATATATGCATCCTGTAAATGTGAAATTAAATACAATATGCTGGTCAAGTATTGATACATGTTTTATAATTAATGTCAGTATTATATTAATAGTGTAAGAAGATTTTAGGATATTATCATTGAATTTTTACACTTTGGGATTACAAAAATCAGGTAATATATCAAGCAGTGCAATCTTACTTAACCTCATGTGTTAAACACAAGATTCTGTTTCTTGCCTGTCCTGTTGTAAGATTTTGTGTACATCATGTTGTTTTTTAAACAAATAAGAGCACGACTAGCCAAACAAAAAAGTAAACAAAAATATAAGTAATTGTAAAAGTGCAGAAAAGACAGCTATTGGTAAAAACACATATATGGGTCCCTGCTTTGAAAATATATAGTAGGGCATATACAGTCTGAAAGAACTACTGATTAATTGCTTCCCCAAAAAATAGCACACGTTTCTAAAAATGGAAAACCACTGTAGTTTTTATCAGATCACATTGCTCCTGACCTATGGTGGAATTCCTGTTGATTTCAGTAGGAGTTATGCACAGGGATTGAAGGCTTTAATGTTCTGAAAGTGGGACTAAAATATCTAGGATGTAGAAGTAGAAAAGATTACACATTTGTGAAAATCTAAAAAGAAGGGGAGCGAAGATGTTACTAAGTACTAAAACTGTTTATTTCTTATATGACATTTTCCTTAAGTACACAGAGTAATGTTCCTTTTTCCAAAGAATTAAGAAATTTCTCTATTATTTGTCTTTACATCATCTATATTTATAGTTTAACACAAAGTTATATCAAGTAAACTAAAACTAAACTATTTATTGAAAAATATCAGTTAGGATTGCTGTGATGCCTCATAGCATTAAGGATTCATGTCCAGGTTTCAGAAACAGTAAGACTTGGCATTGCATAATTTACACTGAAACAAAATGACTAAAAAGTTCCTTGATGTTCTTCACTTTTAATCTGAGACTGTAACTTCAAATGTTTAAACATATTGTTCTCTGAACATGTCTGAACTGGCTGGTTGTACGCTCCAGCCTCTTTTTATGAGCTGCCGGTGTTCTTTATCAGGTTCCCACTTTCTTTGTCACTAAAGCTCTAGGATGTGAAGCTTGCCTTTCTTGGTGAATAAAACGCAACCATGCATACTCTTCCTTGTCTTTTCCTGTATTCAGAGCAAATTTGTATGGAACATATTTTAATAATAATGCAAGGAATTTGCTGTTGTGTTTGAAATTGTTTTGGAAGAACTACGAAGTATCAGCAAAATATATACTGTAGTGTACCACCTTCAGGTCATAACATATTATAAAGAACACTATGATAATTTTTTTTGTTAACTTGTGTAACATTATTGAGCAGCATCTCATGGAGACTAATGGCTACAGAAATAATTATAAAACATGGCCCTGATTCTACAAATGCTTTGCTCATAACTGTAACACAACTGCAGGTTTTCTGGCAGACAACACTACTGGAGCTCAGCTCTTGATGACAGCAAATGCAAAATAAGTATTCACAAAACTCTGATAATTACTTTGACATTTTTCTGTAAATTAAAATGTAGAACATATATGCAAATAACCTGAAATTGAACATATTTTAAATCAAACTTTTTAATATTTCCTTTTTTTTCTGCAAACATTTCCATTATAATAAATTAGTCAATTTACCACTTAAGTTGTTGACAGTTTTTTTTGTGATAATTATCCCATTTCTTGAATGGAGACACTGTCTGGAAACATGGGCACTGATGATATCTGCAGCAGGCTGGCAGACTCCTAGCTGCTGTGCTTAGAACCTGCCAAAGATGGCCCATCTGTCATGGACTCCAATCATGTTCTAAATTTCCAGCTTGAGGAATAAGGACTCCTGCTCAGGGGGAAGCCAGCACAAGCCCCAGCTTTTTGCCCCAGGACACAAAAGAAGGTGGCTGGTAAAATCTCACTGCCCCTGCAAGACAAGCTCAGGAGCAGGGAAGGGGGGGAAAAATTTTTAGGAGATGGGTTCAGATTCAAATCTCAGAAACTTTGAGGTAGGAGGAAGTGGGCAAGTGGGAGCCACTTGAACGGAAAGAGGCAAACAGCATTGAGGCTGCATTAGATTCTGTATCTTTCTTCTCCTATTTGCTGATGGTAACATCTCCCTTTCCCACCCCCAGCAAGTATCCCCTATAATTCTCCCTTCAAGTAGCTCCAGGTGAAGCTGGCTCCCCACATAGCATGGAGTACATAGGTGTTGGGGGGAAAGGCAGCAGGGTAGGAGAGGGAATGTAGATGCTGCTGTTGGCAGGTTTAAGTAGATAAAAGGAACTGAAACAGAAAACACATCCTTCTACCCTTACTCATCTTTGCCTTTCTCCCAGTACTTCCTGAGCAAACAATAACCATCACTTCTCCTTTTTCCTCCCTAAATGCTGAGACTCAAGCTCGCCGATCTCCTAAGATGTGGTTTTGAAGCAGAAAGACTGAGGAATTTAGATGAAGACTGAAAGAGAATTATCTTACTCTGCTGTGAGCTTCAAGTATGGTGTACCTGTTCTATCTCTGTGTCCTGCCATAGGAATCAGAGTACCCATCCAGGCCCTGTTTCCAACATAAGAAGTGGAAGAAAGGGTCACAAAAATAATATCTCTTTTAGCTGAAGTGGTAAATGGACATTTTTCCAAAACAAAAACAAATTGGCTCTCGCATTATGAAAAGAATTTCCAAATTTGTAAGGATGTTTTTAGGTTGCAAGCTACACTTAAATGTAAACCCTAGTACATGACATGTATTGCTTTTTGCTAGGAAAAATTATTTAATTTTTAAAAATATAGTGTCTATTAAAATACACTTGTATTTTATTACATATACAATTAAAATGTCTAATTACTCCATCAAGAAAGTCTTACCATTGCACCCACATGAAAAATACAACCTGGTTTGTTTTGTTTTGTTTTTTTAAACTGGACCTCAGCCAGAACTCCGTTTTTATGCTTCAAAATGCTTACAGATACAATTTTGCACCTGGAACTATTTCCAGATGCAAATGATATAATTTTGACATCTCAGTGACTGTGTACTTAGCTATTTACATGGCAATCATGGGGGATGATTGCAGCTTGTGTAGACATACCTTAGCTAGCGTTAATCTAGCAAGTTTGGATACCAGTAAAGCCGTAGCAGCACAAGCTTCAGCATGGCTATACAAGCCCACTCAGAACCCTGGGTAATTATTCAGCTGGCTAGCCTGAGCTGAAGCCCAGGCTGCCATGGCTTCACTGCTAAGAGTACCTGAACTAGCTAAATTAAAGCTAGTTCGGGTATGTCTACTCAAGCTGCAATTACACCTCAGAATTGCAGTGTAGGCACACCCTAACTGACATGAACTGAAGATTCAAAAATATGCCACAAAAAGGATCTATTTTCAAAATTTGACTTTTAGGTATTTTTATTAACAAAACAACTTTTTTTGGTTCTTAACTCCTGTGATTTAAAAGACATGAGACATTCCTGTCATTTACGTGCTAATAACATAATAGAATAAATTCCACTGAATGATAAGCTATACTTTAGAGCTATAAAAGTCAACATATGTATAAAGTATACCTCTGTACAAAGGATCCAGCAAGTATGTCTTGTAATTTTGTACCTATACTACTTCATCAGGAGCCACCATGTTTCCCTCTTAATCCCCACAAAAATCAGCTTAAAAGGAGTTCTTCCAAGAAAAATGTTACTGTTGGTAAAGCTGCATGATATTAATTCCTCCCATATTAAATTCCATATGCAGTGCTTTTGGGAAGGACATGAAAACATGTTGGTACCCATCTTTTGTAATGAATGCAGATATAGAAAAATATTTTAGAGTTACTAGCAGATAGTGACTATTCCTAAGCCAGACTGTCTTTAACTGCAACATTCTTATCCACAGTGTAACCTGAAGGTGAGGAATGACGGGAGAAATATTGTAAATCACATCTTACCTTCGTCTATTGAGGCTTCACTACTGTACCCATCATACTCTGCAGACAGAGGGCTATATTTTTGTCTAGTTTCCCAAATGTAATTTTTTTGCTGTCTGCTATCTACCATTGGTGGCCTGGAACTTTGTGTTCTGGACAAGGCCTCATGGTATTTACCCACTGCCTCGTCTTCACTTTCAGAGGAGGAACCATTCTGGTCTTTATTCATGTACGAGTTGTCTGTTTGAAGAAAACAGAACAGTAAATGACAGATGATAGCTTGAGAGAGTGAAACAAATTAATCAATACAATTTAAATATTTTCAATGTTTACTGAAATTTTTTGAGAAAAACAAAATATATGTAACCAACTTTTGTCATTGTTTTACATAGGTACTACGTCAGAAATTTTTATTATTTTTTACAAATGCAGAAAAATTACAAATTCCTAAATATTATACAGTATATTTAATGGGAAATAAGCTATGGGGGTTTTTGAGGAAGCACACTTACCCAATTTCTTGAATCTCTTTATTTAAAAAACAAAATTCCCAAAGATTTTATGTAATCACAGACAACATAATTTAATGTCATATTTTAGATTACTGACTCATATAAGAAATTCAACTCCTGATTCTCTCCTGTCAAGGGGCTTATGGTGTAGAATATGGTATACATAAAATTCTGATGTCAAAATAAAACAGATGACAAAATTACATAAAATATTTCAGGTTAATAACACCTAAGGGAAACAATGGTACAGTAATACCGTTGCTATGTTTTAAAAGAAAATCTAACAAGTTGACCAATATGTTCATAGCTAAAAAACAGAAGTTTTACAATACAGGCACATACCAATAGTTGTGAAGGATGTAGAAAAGTACTCAGTTAAATGAAAATCAAAATGGACATACAGAATCTTATTTTACTTGAAACAACTGACTATTTTCCTCAAACCTGAAATTAATACAGATTCTCATAGCAGCCACTTGGCAATAGTTAAGGTTGCATAAAAGTTTATATTCTAACCTCTGTTTTTATCCAGTCAAATTCTGAAATCATCACATTTGTGTTTAAAATTAGTGTCTTAAGGTTTTTTGTTTGTTTTTTAAAAGTTTAAACAAAGATTCAGCTGTTTTCAGAATGGAGTGAAAAATAAACATTTTCCATTTTATAAAACCTACAAGGTTTTTAGTTTGTTTGTTTTTTAAAAAATCCTCCACTTGAAATGGCTACAGTTTAAAAGTTGAAATTTAACAGGAAAATAGCTCAGTTTAGATGGCCAGTACAAGGTCTATACTATCTTTAAGTTCCACTTAACCCCTGTACAGAAATATAATACCAAGTAACTATGAGGCCTTAAACAGAAATTATGTAGTGCATTATATAGTGCACTCTACCCCAAGTGCATATCCAAAAATAATAAGATGGATAAGTACTTCTCAAGCAGACTTAGTTTCACATTGAACTGGCTAGTAACATAAATTGTTGCATATTAATCGGAATAATTAGGGCTGAGACTTTGTATGGTGTGCAAGGGCCGGGGAAAGACTCCTGCAGTTTGCTGGGGGCCGGCACCTCCTATGGTGTGCAAAAGGATTAAGGCAGGGTTCTGACCAATTTTGTAAACTACACAGTAGCTGAAGCAAAGGTTTGTGTGGATCTTAAGGTCTGAGAGGGATAAGGACGGGCTACTGAGAACCTGATAAAGGTCAGCAGGATCACTGCCTGCAACTCCAATGAACTGTTGCCTTTGCCCCCTCCTCACTTTGGTAGCTCCACAGATGGGGAAGGCATTTCGCTGAAGGAAATCCTGAACAGCTCTTTTCCAATGGAGTTTAGGAACGTAGCCAGACTAGAATGAAGTCTTCCTCAAGTGTGGAGTTCTTAAATTGCACAGGAAAGCCGCTCTCTCCTGTACATTTTAGCATACCCACCTGAGCTGCACAAATAGGTTGGTTGGGGCTACATGCATTACTAACTTAAGTGCACACTAGCCTCCTCAACTATGATTACAATTTAAGCCAAAGTTTATCATTTAAATTGGTGTACGTGGGCAGTGACTAATTTGAGCAAATCTCAAACAAAGGAGAGGGGCATTCTAGTGGTATAAGAATGGCCATACTGGATCAGACCAAAGGTCCATCTAGCCCAGTATCCTGTCTTCCGACAGTGACAAATGCCAGGTCCTCCAGAACGAATTAACAAAACAGGTAATCATCAAGCGATCCATCCCCCTGTTGCCCATTCCCAGCTTTTGGCAAATGGAGGCAAGGAACACCATCCCTGCCCATCCTGGCTGATAGCCATTGATGGACCTATCCTCCATGAATTTACTAGTTCTTTGTTGAACCCTGTTATAGTCTTGGCCTTCACAACAACCTTTGACATGGAGTCCACACATACTTCCTTTTGTTTGTTTTAAACCTGCTGCCTATTAATATCATTTGGTGACCCCAAGTCCTTGTGTTATGAGAAGTAGTAAATAACACTTCCTTATTTACTTTAACCAGACCAGTCATGATTTTATAGACCTCTACCATTCCCCCCTTACTCGTCTCTTTTCCAAGATGAAAAGTTCCAGTCTTATTAATCTCTCCTCTTATGGAAGACGTTTCATACCCCTAATCATTTTTGTTGCCCTTTTCTGAACCTTTTCCAATTCCAATATTTTTTTTTTTTTAAGATGGGGCGACCACAGCTGCACACAGTATTCAAGATGTGGATGTTCCATGGATTTATATAGAGGCAATATGATGTTTTCTGTCTTATTATCTTCCTTTTAATGATTCCCAACATTCTGTTCACTTTTTTGGCTGCCACTGCACACTGAATGTTTTCAGAGAACTATCCTCAATGACTCCAAGATCTCCTTCTTTAGTGGTAACAGCTAATTTAGACCCCATTATTTTATGTGTAGTTTCCAATGTGAATTACTTTGCATTTATTAACATTGAATTTCATCTGCCATTTTGTTGCCAAGTTACCCAGTTTTGTGAGATTCTTTTGTAGCTCTTCGCAGTCTGCTTGGCACTTAACTATCTTGAATAGTTTTGTATCATCTGCAAATTTTGCCACCTCCCCCTTTTTCCAGATCATTTATGAATATGTTGAATAGGACTGGTCCCAGTATAGACCCCTGGGGGACACCACTATTTACCTCTCTCCAATCTAGCCAAGAAATTCCATATTACAAAGTCCCTGCCTCATTCACCACACACCATCCAATTTCTGCAACAAATGAGGCAGAAGTACTAAAGGCCTCTTTCACTAAACAACCCTGCATGGCCCATCCTGTGCTCTGAATCAAACAGCGCTTGTGGAAAAAAATAGCACGTGACCATCTAATTAAAGATTGTATCACAACGCATATGCACAAGGGAGCCAAATTAAGGTTGCACAGACAACTTTAATACTGACATTTCCTACATTTTTTGCAATCTTAACGTTTTTTTCTACCTAAGGTTTTTTATGTGTAACTTCCCAGGTTTCTGAAAAAGTAACCTGAAATAACAAATTCCACCATGTGGAATCATACTGACACCCACATGAGTCATCAGCAGAACTGAAATCCTTAGATTCACAGCACAGACCTTTGCCAATTTAGCTAACAGAGTTATGGTGGCAGCAGCAGAAGGTTCTCATCCTCTGTGTGGACCAGCCACTAGAAGAGGAGGAGGCACACACTTTGCCAGTGGATTTCACATACATTTGTGACATTCTAGGTTCTGAAGAGGAGTGTGTTCTAGTGATCACAGATCCTTTTCCCCACTTTTCCCCAAGCCTGACCCCGTCCACCCCATTCCCTCTACTCTGTCCCTCTCTTGCCTCTTCCCTGCCCCCATCTCTTCATCCCAATTCCCACCACTAGCCCCTTGCCCTAACCGAGGTCTTACTGCTTAGCCAACCCCCATTCCAGCCATGAGCTCCTCATCCCAGTCCCATTCTCCCTACCCAGTCAGTCTCCCTACCTGGGCTTCCCATCTGAGTCTCTGTATTCCCTCCACCTCAACTCCTAGTTCCAGTCAACTGCCATGGCCTCCTTCTCTCCTCAGTTTCTTTGCCCACCCATTCCTGGAACTCACACCCCAGCTCCACGTTCAATCTCAGTCTCTCTAACCCAGCCCCTAGCTCCCAGTCTTCCTAGTCTAGTCATTTCCCATTCCCACCCCCACACCGCTCCCAATCCCAGTCAACTTCATCCAGTGGTCTCTGCATTACGCTCAGGCAGTTTCTTCATCTACAAAATCTGAGAATCAGCAGAGGGAACACTGAAAACACAGGGGAGAGAATCTCCCAATTGTTAGTTGTGATGCCTGACCCCAAAATAGCCCACAGAACTCAGAAGCAGCAACGGCTCAGAAAGTCCTGTTTGGCCTCTACAGCCCTGGAATGGAGCATGCCCAGTGCAGACAGAGTCTTACGAGAATTTAGCTCACAGACTATAACAAGCTGTGATGTTATCTGATTAAAATATGACCATATAGATAATTGTTGCAACCACTGTTATATATTTGCAGCAAATCTTGTACAAAGGTTGTCAAGTGAGGTGTCTATGAAAAGGTTATGATTTGCTGGTTATGCTTATGTTATCTGTATACATGTAACAGTTTTGTATTTGAAGGTATAAGTATTGGCTCTATACCTGGATTTCAAATGTTTGCTCCTGGGGTACTGCCCACAAGGTAGCTCGCCAGCACATCTTGGAGGGACTATTCAAGTTAAGTGATTCATCACTTGGTTGACAATGGACCATGGGAGACGCCCATCTACACTGAGTGGACGGTCATGTAAATGTGCTTCCTGCAATGACTAGGGAAATTGGGTATGAACATGTGACTTGCCAATGTGACTCCAAACTCCATCTTGTTGCTGTAATTTTCCACAGTAAGAACAATGGAATGCCCTCCACATGGCAAAAGCTATAAAAGGCCCTGGAAACTCCTCCATTTTGTCTTCAATTCTGCTTATTACCTCTGGAGGAACTTTGTGACAAACTGAAACTCTGAACAAAGGGCAATGACCCATCCAAGCTGTGGATGTACTCCAGAGACTTGACTTAAGCCAGCAGCTGAACCAACAACTTTGCCATTACTTTATGTAATTGATTCCTTTAACCAATTTTAACTCTCACCTTTCTTTCTTTTTATAAATAAACCTTTAGATTTTAGATAATAAAGGATTGGCATCAGCATGATTTTTGGGTAAGATCTAAGTTACATATTGACCTGGGTGTGTGGTTGGTCCTTTGGGATCAGAAGAACCTATTATTTGATGAGACTGGTTGTAAAGAACCACTTATCTCTGAATCCAGTGTTTTTGGTGGTGATATAAGAACTCGAATGCCTGAGGAAACTGCCTTTATATTTTCTCGTTAACCAGTGTGGTGAAATGGGAGTTTACTTTTGTGGCTGGTTTGGTATATCTTATAAAAGAATAACCATCAGTTTTGGGTTGTGTTTGCCCTATTTCTCAGCAATTCATCCTGAATTTGGCATCCTCAGTTGTGACCCACTAAGGCATGGTTACAAAAGCCTCTATTGAGTACCTACAAATTGCAATTTTCCCCAGAGGTTTATAACTTAGTCTAATTTGGGCAGTTTTTCCACAGAAACAGCAAAAGGCACTTCCCTTATACCAGAACAACCCCCCCCCTCCCCCCCAAATTTCAAGCTCTTGCTCCATAGCAGGGAGGTGCAAAAGCATCTCAGTGAAATTGTGATAAGATTTTTTTTTTTAAACACGGGCCAATTTATTTTTCCCTAATCTCATTCCTGGAACCAGCTGAAGTGTTTTAGCTGAAATTTAAACAAAACTATAGCAAGGAGGCATGGCTTCCCTCTGAGACTGACAGGGAAGGACCACAACCTGCCCTTTGGTGGGCTGAGCCGGGAAGGCCACGCCCAGCCCACCAGAAGCAGAGGGGCAGGACAGGAATCAAAAGTATAAAAGGCAGGGCCTTCAGCTCAGTTGGGCTGGAGCTGCCAAGGGAGACAGATGCAACTCATATGAGGCTGGAACCTGAAAAGGATTTCAGCCATACTGAGAACTTGCTATAGCAACCGGCCAATCAAGATGCCGAGGGGTTGCTGTGGCTACCACTGGCCACCTGCCCTAGGAAGATAGAGGACACCCACAAAATGGAGGTACCACATAAAAAGGATGTAGGAAGTAGCACAGGCAAACTAGACTACAGTCTGGTTGAGTCTTGGCTTGATTCTAGATCAGTGTGTTGTGGGCAGATCCCCACTGACCCAGTGGCGGAACAGTCCGCCACTAGTATTGCCCTGGACTAGGACCCAGTAGAGTAGAGTGGGCCTGGGTCCCCCTGCCCACCCCCCTCTGGGATGACAACCTCTCCATCTTTAGGCCAGTTCTAGGGTTTTTGGCCATCTGCTAGAGTAAGGACGCCTGACTATTTGATGCCCCACCCTGCCTGAGGGCCTGGGCCCCTAGACTTCTTTGCTGTTCTGCCCTCACTACAGACCAGAGCACTAGATTGTTTGGTGCTCCACCCTACCTGGGGGCCTGGGCTCCAAGACTCTGTATTGCTCTACCCAGACTGATTGTTGCTCAGCCCAGCTTAGAAGGCCCAAGTATCACAAACTGCTAATTTCCGCCTTTGATAGACTGCCACTCTAAGGGTGTGACAGTGAGGAGGTGTGGCCTCCCTCTCAGACTGACAGGGAGGGATGGCCATACACGCCAACAAAAAACAAAAATCTGACTAAAACAGACACACAGCATGGAAAATTTTGGCCTAAACAGTAGAAGTCTGGCAAAGTTATAAGCAACTGAAAACAGAATCTCATAATGGGAAGTGTCAGGCAACTATCCTATCAGTGCTATCAGCTCCATTTACAATATGTATCTATGACCATCTCTTAAGTTAGCATTTATTGGGTGAGTTGATGCCTTAGGATATTGCTAATGAGCTACAGCATCTTTAACCTGTAGATCACTAGTTTGAATCCAGTCAAGCTCAAATAGCTTCAAATACCCCACCCCTTCCTACAGGCTCCAGAGAAGCCCTTCTCTGAGGCCCTTCCCCACTCGCTCCATCCCCCCTCCCTCTGTCGCTTGCTCTCCGCCACCCTCACTCATTTTTAGCGGCCTGGGGCAGAGGTTCGAGTGTGGGGATGGGGGGCGAGGGCTCCAGCTGGAGGTGCAGACTCTCGGGTGGGGCCGGGGATGAAGGGTTTGGGGTGCAGGAGAGGGCTCCGGGCTGGGGTCAAGGGGTTGGGGTGCAGGAGGGGATGTGGGCTCTGGGGTGGGGTCGAGGATGAGGGGTTTGGGATGCAAGAGAGCTGGGACACGGGGTTGCGGGGGTGCAGGCTCCAGGAGGAAGTCTGGGTGCAGGAAGGGACTCCAGGCTGGGGCAGGAGGTTGGGCTGCAGGAGGGGGTTTGGGGTCCCGGTGGCGGTTACCGTGGCTCCTGGGATGTGGCCGCCAGGTCCCTGCAGCCCATAGATGCATGGACAGCCAGGGAGGCTCCACGTGCTGCCCTCGCACCTGCAGGTGCTGCCCCCACAGCTCCCATTGGCTGTGGTTCCCAGCCAATGGGAGCTGCGGAGCCAGCCCTCGGGGCGGGGGGCAGCGCGCGGAACCTCCCTGGCCATCCATGTGTCTAGAGGCTGCAGGGAGCTTGCCTTAGCCCCGGGCCCCCACTGCGCTGCTGACCGGACTTATAACGGCCCGGTCAGCAGTGCCGGCCGAAGCCGCGAGGGTCCCTTTTCGACTGGGCATTTCAGTCAAAAATCAGACACCTGGCAACCTTACCTATATGAAATCAGTTTTGTAGGTTCCAATTCCATCTCCCACATCATAAACTCACCAGTATGCTTTGTGCTAACTGGCAGATACAGTAGAGAACTGATGACCTGCACAGGACATAGAGAAGGACCCTCTGCTATCTCTAAAGAAAGTCCTTGCCTGCCCCTCCCCCAGATCAGGGTTGAAATATGCTGGCAGAATAATATGTGTAGGACATTTGCCCAGCTGCTCCCCTGTAGATAAACATAGATCTTCATTTATCAGGCTGCCACAATCTAATGCCTTTCACCAGCAATGAATCCACATACTTATAAGTATAAACTTCATCTTAAAAATTAAGTTACTTGCAAATATGAAAATTAGCTCATTAAATAATTTGCATCGTGTCACATATGTACATATTTATAAGCTTAGTATGTTAAAAACATATCACAAAGCATATTTACCAACAGCACATATAAAATCTCTCTGTGTCAGACTGTAATCTTCCTTAAGACAAGCCAAAGAAACAATTTAGTAAAGTGCCCAGCTTTTATGTCTACAGGCTTCTTAATTACCTCATCAGTGATTATTCTATCCTAAAATTACTGTGTTATTCAACCAGACAACAAACTCGTGGTAGAAAAATTTCCCAAGTACAAATATATCAAAAATTCAGTTTTTTATCGTATGCCTTCAAAATCCCATCCTGAATGTTTTCTGCAGACCTTAAACTGTTTTCTAGATAGTCTTAAAAAGTGCACATAGAATTTAAACTGCTTTCAAAGAATACATGGAAAATTAATTTTGGATTTTTGTTGTTGAGAGAATATTGTAATTGCAAATAAAGTGTCAGAAAAATAAATTCAAATCTTAAACTCATATATATGTGCCCTGATCCACATGCAGTAAGGGCAACACAGATGCTTTGAACCTGTTCCTAGACAATATAGTACAGCTTGCTGCACTAAGTGTTCTCTTACACATTCTGACCAGGACCACTGAAACAAACAGATTTTTAGTAACATTCTAGAGCCAAACAAAGACTAGAGAAAAATTCCCAGTACCCAACAGAAACCACACAAAGCACTTCAGAAAATGCAAAATAGTGTTTATTTGGAAAATAGAAAATTTAGAACAAATGTCAGAGATTTAATCATGAGTACTAGCATAGCCTCAAACTTGAGGGTCAGAGGTGACCATCATGGTCATCTAATCCAACCTCCTACATACCCACTCATTCCAGTAATAGACCCCTAACCTCTAGCTGAGTTTCTGAAGTCCTCAAATCATAGTTTAAAGACTTCAACTTACACAGAATCCACCATTTACACTAGTTTAAACCTGCAAGTGCCCCATGTTGCAAAGGAAGGTGAAAAAACCCCAGAGACTCTGCCAATCTGACCGGAGGAAAATTCCTTCCCGACCCCAAATATGGCGATCAGTTAGACCCTGAGCATGTGAGCAAGACCCACCAGCCAGACACCCGAGAAGGAATTCTCTGTAGTAACTGAGAGCCTTCCCAATCTAATGTCCCCTCGTCGGCCACTGGAGATATTTGCTGCTAGCAGTCGCAGATCGGCTACATGTCATTGTAGACAGTCTTATCATACCATCCCCCCCATAAACTTATCAAACTCAGTCTTGAAGCCAGTTATGTTTTTGCCCCCACTGTTTCCCTCGAAGACTGTTAACAGAACTTCACTCCTCTGATGGTTAACAACCTTCACCTAATTTTAAGCCTAAACTTGTTGATCGTCAGTTTATATCCATTTGTTCTTGTGTCCACACTGGTACTTAACTTTAACTCCTCTTCTACCCTGGTATTCATCCCTCTGATGTATTTATAGAAAGCAATCATATCTCCCCTCAGCTTTCTTTTGGTTAGGCTAAACGAGCCAAACTCTTTGAGTCTCCAATTATAGAAAAAAATTAACTGGTTTTCAATAAATATTGCAATTAGAGAATAAATTTCCTAGAAAATAAAATACACTGTAAAGTGATCTCATTTAAAAGGAAAAATTGTTCCAGTGAATTCTGTAAATTAGGAGGTAAAAGTAGTATGTAGAAAAAGATGCAGGAAAGGCCTAATGGAGAAAATTTGATGAAAGACACCTCACCTTTTTCTGGTGTCTTCTTGCTACTTACTTCTCTTGAAATCTTTTCTGATTCCTTATAGTTTCTCTTTTTACCTTCTTTAGAAAATGTGGTTGTTGCATTTTCTTCATGTTTCACTATGGTTTGTTCGTTACCATCAGAAAAAGTTTTGTATTTCTTTGTTTTTACTTCATTAGCACAATCAGGATGATCACTCGGTGCCTTTTTAAAATTTGACTCTGATAATCTCTGCTTTGGTACCTCATTTGCTTTTGCTTCTGAATCCTTGGATCCATCTGTACAGGGCTGCTCTTTGGGGTCCTGAAAATCAATCACTGAAGACCTGGATTTGGCTTTTCTATGCAAGTGATCCTTAGAATTCTCCAATACTGCACGTAACCCATTGCCTGGATCTTTAATAATAGATTCATCTGTTACAAATTTATTACTAGTCAAATTATTATCCTTTGAAAACTTTTCGTTTTCCAAGTATTTATTTCCAGTGGCTCCTTTGCTTTTAACATGTCGTCCTACTTTTTTCATGTCTCCAGACACTTCCATATTATTAAAATGTTTGTTAGCATTTTCCTTTTTTAATTGATTGTTTCTTTTGTCCTGGACATGAACTGACATTCTAACTTGATTGAACTCTTGTTTTACAGAATCTGATGAATCAGAATAATGAGTCTGCTTATGTTTATCTTCAACACATCTTTTTTCCTTCATATTAGTTTCCTTAGAATCTGCTAATGATATTATATTTTCCTCTTTAATAGGCATAGACTTATCCTCTTGCATTCGAGAGTTTTCATCTTCTGTGCGAAGGCCATTTATCATGCTCGTTACCTGCTCTGTGACCGAATCAGCTACAGTATAGCTGACCTCTCCAACAGCACTGGTTAGATCATCTACAGCATTACTAAGAGCGTCAACCAGAGAAGACACAGAAGGAAGGCTCAGATTTTGTTGAAAGTTTTTGAAAAATGCCATTTCTCCAATCTTAAACAAATTATTTCTGGTAGAAAGGTCTTCAGTTTTGTGAATTTGTCACCCACCCAAGAGACTCAATTTTACATTTATCTAGTTTTGCTGTCCAAAAACCTACTATATAACCTGCAGCCACTGCAGCTTCGTTCTTGCCCAAAACTCTATAAGTAAAAAATCTTTGAAATGAAGCCAAGATCAACTAGCTCAAAACAATATTTTTCCATTGCAAAATAAGTAGTCTTTCATCAAAGTTCAGTATCAACTAGCCATAATACGAGTATTTGTTTTCAAAAATACAACTAAAGAAGGGGAAATGTGTATTTTATTCAACACCTGCAAAGAAGAAGTTTTAAACACTTTAAAATTATGTACTTTTACTAAATTAATTCATACTGCAAAGAACTACTGTAGATTAACATAATAGCTGCACAATAGCACATACCCCAAAGGGTTTCCTCAGCTCAAAACATTTGTTGCTTTTTAAGCAATGAGAGATACTTTGGGCCACGGACAGTTGTTCCACAGCTGGAAGGAGAGAAAAAAGCCCTAGCCCCTGTCCCAGAAAACAAAGCCTGCTCCTCCCTTTTGGGAAGCAACTTTCAAGAAGGCAGGAAAGAAGAACAGCCCAAAGTAAAATAAACGTACCATCTCCCACACTTTATAGCTCCTTATCTCAGGCCTGTCTCTTCTTTACAAGAGAGCCAACAAAGCCAGCTGGAATTCTTCCAGCCCAAAGGCCATTTTACCAAACTCCATTCCCAGAGAAATACGAAGTTCATAACCCTGATCCCTTTGGAAATTTGATAAAGTAGTTCCCCTAATTATTTTTTGACAGTCTGGATACTATCTTTGGCTTACTGGATCCTATCTTCCATATAGGCAAGTTCTAGAAATGAATTATTAGCCACCGAAGAGAAACCCTTATGTTTTCTGGTGAGTGATTTTTTTGAAAATTCTTCCCTAACTGAATGAGCCACCTCCTGTGCAAGGACACTGGAGGACTAACTCAGCATGCTGAGTGCTATCTTCAGCAATGTGGTTCACCTACATCTATTTGAGAAGGGCAATTATAGACAACCATGCAATATTTCAATTGGCATTATACATCCAATATTAAGGAGCACAGGGAGGGAAAAGTATCTTCTCATAAGCAAAGATAATCTCTTTAGCTATATAGCCATTGAGACCTGTAGAGTTTCTGGGGGCAAGCAGTCACAGAAGCTGCCTTTCCTCCAAATAGGTCCCAATCCTCATAAATTTTTATACATATAACAGGTCTTTCTCATTTGGTCCAAGTATTTGTATATTTTGTGTTACTCTGTGAAAGTCTCTATTAACTTTTACAGAATTAAATTGAGTAGAATATATTTCAGATACTTACAAAGTTTGTCTTGTGAAATCTTCCTTGCATTGTATCCTGAATCAAGGTCTGGGAAGCCACCAACATTTTCAAAACACATCTTCTTATTAATATATAGAAAAAGAAGCAACATGAGGATAATGACCACTCCAACAGCTGACAGAAATCCAACTGCCTCAGGAGATACTAAAACAAATAAAAAGAGAAAAATCTAAAAATCGACAATAGATTTCAGAATATGACGGTTCAATAATCAATACCCACACTGTCTGTAATTTATGTGAAAGATATTACTAAAATAAAATTATACTACTTCAGTTTGCATGTATTTTGGACACGGTGTTAAATTTAAAAGTGACCAGCTGACTGACCTACAAAAATATTTTCTTATAGTCACCCAACACGTTCTAAATTAGTTCTTATGTCAGAGATGTCACACAGATTTGCCAAAAATAAAGTTATTTAACATCTCTGGCATCATTTTGAATATTTGCCTTACCATGTCATGTTATACAGTTTTTCTTCACATCTTGATGAACTTCAACTAGTCTACCAGAAACTGAAAACAGAATCATCAGCTCCTTTCACATTAATCACTGTGTGCACAAACATGATTTTTTTAATTGGAAATAAAAATACAGGTTGTCACTAAAAAGGTACATCCGTACTGTGGAAATTCCAGAACAATGTACATGTAGAAAAGAGACCTGAATTCTGTAATGATTATATTGAATAGGAATGAAGGAAATGCTGAACTTCAAGAAACCCAGCTCATACCTACCAACAGCCAAGGTATGCTGAATCAGAATGTTTGATTGATTAACCTAATGAAAACATTACAAAACATATGAGCTCTTTTCTGAGAGGAGAGGTTACTTACCTGTGCCGTAACTGGAGTCCATCAAGGTGCGCATGTACCCAAATCATCTTCAATCAGAGATTTTTTGTTGTTGTTGCCAGAACTGTCTGCTTAATCCACGCATGTGCTTTAAATATCCTCAACCACTTTATCGAGGGTACATAGGCTAGTGTGGGACCAACTGCCAATCCAGTTCCTTTTCTACCATGGAACCCAGCCCAAACTAGGGACTTTGAAGCAGATGGGAGGGAGTGTGGGTTGTAGAGCACGATACAGATAAGTAACCACTCCTCTGCTTGTTCCTGTGGGTGCTCTATTCTAGGTGCCTCCCACGCAGTGATTCAACTATGAAGGTAGGTGTTTCAGAGTTTTATGCAAGACAGACTATAATACAGCCACCTCAGATGAAGCATCTGCTCTAGCAGCCTGTACACGTAGTTGCCTTACAGATGTCAACAACAGGAGTTTTTCCTCAACAAGGCTGTTGAAGTGGACTGAGTTTGTTGAAAGGGCTCCAAGGTTAGGAGGGGAATCTAGGTCATGATCTTGTAACATGTTTTATACACCCTGAAATTTACTTAGACAGTCTCTGTGTGGAGATAGGGACATCCCTAATCCTTTCCACAAAGAAAATTAAAAAGCCTCAGAGTTTCTGAAGGGTCTGTTCTTTGAGGATAAAAAGCCAACACAGAACGTCTACTATATGTAACCTAGCTTCCTCATGACTGACGTGAGGTTTGGGAAAATATTGGTAACTGAGAGCATGTCTACACTATCAAATTTTGCTGACACAAGTTATGTCAGAATAAAGTCACCACGGTCAGCAGATCGCTTTTGTGCATGCGTAGTTGGCTCCTTGCATCAGCCCTGAACTTTCTCACCAGAAGTGCTTGTGCCAGTGCATAGCACAGTGCACCATGGGTAAGTATCGCTGTGTGCAAGCCACCGCCATCATGTGCATGGTCTTTTGGGAAGCTTTGGCAATGCATGGTGAGGCACTGGCAGAAACAAATGGCGCAGGGATGACTGAGCAAGAGGTCAATTTCCCAGCATGCAAAGAATGGTCTCAAGAGCGCCAAAAGGACCAGATTAAGCTCCCAAACCAGCAAGGACTCCAAAATAGGTAGAGAAAAATATAATCACCTCTTAAGAAAACTAGATGTTGTACGTAAGAAAATATGGCAAAGCTTTCCAATGGATGGTGAAAGACATGCCAAATATACCCTTATGAAATGTGTGTATGAAGAGTTCTTCTGCTGTCTTGATGTAAAAGACTGGACAGTGCTGTTAACTACATCAATAGTCACTCGGAGACCAAAGGATTATAGTAAAGATATGGGCCAATTTAGCCTATATAACTGCTATACTAGTTGTACTTAATGCTAATTTATACTTAATGCATACTAAATGTATATATGGTGCAGATATTGATTTTTAATTTATATATAGATATATATATGCTAGTCAGCATATATTGGTCACCAGGCCCCCACTTGTCACCTTACTAATTGTTATAGCAAAGGTGACACCTTTGCAAAATTAATATGTGAAACAGTGGGGAGGGCCTTTAAACATCATTTAAAATGTTTTACCCCTGCATAAGTGGCAATACATAATTAACACAGCTAAAATTAATACACCTTGAACCACAAGTAAAGCTTTAAATGCAACTTCTATCCAAATGAGAAATTAGTATTTTAAGATCCCCATCATGGATAAGATCATTCAAGACTTGTTCCAGCTTGTGCATGTCATTGCTAATTTAAATAATGTGTATGTCTTTTGTGTCTAATAATGTTTTTAAATTTAAATGAGTGAATTAATATGCATGTTAAAGATTCACTTTTGATAAGTTTTATTTTGAAAAATTGGGATAGGCATTATTACAGTGTCCCCCACAGTGCTACATACATGAAGAGTAAAACAGAAATTTGTAGTAGTAACATTACAAGTCAGGCCTCCATACTGTCCATCCATCTTACAGAGTACCCTTATTGCTGGTTGTCGGCATCTGGTAAGCTTCACTGGACAGGAGCAGCTAGCTTCTCTGTTGCATTGGACCGGCCTGAACCATTATGGCCCCATACTGGAGTTGCAATGTCAAAAACATTGCATCGACACATGTACTGGTATCTCTTAGTGGAACACGCAATGTGTGGTGCTCTCCAGGTTTGGGTTGCTGTGTGATACCACCAATAGCGAAGGTAAATCCAATCACCCCTCGTAGATGTCATCTTTTAGGTAACCTACTGAATGGACAGTAACCAATTTATCAAATATTGTAGTGATAATGTAAAAAAAAAAAAAATACACGGAATCAGACACTGAGCAACACTGTTTTGAGTAACATGTGCCTTGATTAGGATGTGATGTCACTGACATCAAATTACAAATAGGCTTTTACCCAACCATTGAGTCTAGTACATGTTCTTGATATGATGCTATGTTAATTAACAAAGAATACAGTAATGGTACATTTGCTTTTACACAATAGCGAAATTCAGTCACATTCCACTAAGAAAGGGAATTTGCCTACATGATTCAACGTACTACCATAGTTTTTGTTATACGCTGAGGGAAATAGCAGTTAGCCAACTGTTCATCACTAAGGTCAGGCAGTTTTCCTTTCTCAATATTCCCTAATGAATTGATTATGGTAGTTAACACGCAATTCCCATAAGCAGTACAAATATTTCTTTACCTTCCTGATTTTCCTTTACATTTTTATTATTTGTTGGAATTAAGTTTTGCTTGTGTTACGTTAAACAGGTTATCAATGTTATGCATATTGTATACCACATATGGTTCTTTTTGTTTTTAGTAGCTACACCTCAGTGCCAGGAATTATGGGTTTAGAGATAGTTTCCAATTCTTGATGCTCAAAACCACTAATGTGGGTGGGGTTTATACATACATATTTTCCATATTACCCCTGTTCCAAATAGATATTCCAGATTCAAATAATCTTGAAATGTAAACAATAAT